CTGGAGCAAAACCCGGCGGGCCATTCGCCGCCCAGCGGTCGGGGGGGGGCAGCCAGGGGCCCAGAGGAGGGAAGGGCCGCCCCGTGCCGGGCGCACACCTGTATGCTGGGAGAGACGGAACGGGTGGCAGGAGAGCCCTTCCCGTCGAGCAAGGCTGCGTTTCGCCAGGATCACTGCCCCTGCCATGGCGCGGCCGAGGAGACGAGAGAATTGAGCGGCCCCGCTGAACACAGGCGGCTGGTGGTGGTGGTGGTGGTGGGTGGCCAGGCTGTCCCTGGCCCCCTGTTCTCTGCATGGTGGGTGGGTGAGTGGGTGGGAGCGGCTCAGGTGAAGCTGCTCCTAACACTGAACCGGTGCCACGAGGAAGACGGGGGAGCGCTGCCTATTGGTGCAGGGGCTGGCTGGCGACTCCCCGTTCGCTCTCCATGACCCTCTCCATTCTGGATCCAACAGGACTTGCCCTCCCTGTCTTCCCTGCGTGGTCTTTAACCCCTTGTCTGGGGGAGGGTGCCGTGCCCTCTCGGGAGCCCCAAGGGCTCTCCTGCCTTGCCTTGCCTTGCCTTGGTAGGGCCGTGCTCCCCGAGGGGGGGGGCTGGGGAGGAGCCCGCGTGGCCTCGCCTGCGGAAGGGCCACCAGGCCGGGCCTTGGCCTCGGAAGGGGACCGAACGGCCGCTGCAGGAGGCGCAGCAGATCGGTGGGCTCTGGCCAGGTTGCCCTGGGCGCTGCGGCTCAGGCCGCGATTCCACGGGTCGGCGGGGGTGCGTGGCCGGGGCCGCTTTTGGCTGGGGAAGCGCGGGATGGGGCAGACACTCCGGGTGCGGGCGGGAGGCGCGTGGTCTCCCCGCCCCCCTTCACAGGAAGGCTCAGTCAATCTGCATTAATTTGCATATGAGACGAACAATGGCCCTACAATCAGAGGAGAGTGTTCTGGGTTCGTGAGGATTGCAGTGGCATGCATTCAAGAACACTGCCCCCCCCTCCACGCCGCCGCCGCCGCCCTCACCCAGAAGGAAAGGCGTTTCCAAAGATGGCAAGTCTTGGCCCCCGCCCCGCCTTTGGCAAGCCTCTTGAAAAGCTTGTGTTGGGCAAAGGCGGACGTTCACTTCTGGTTACCATTCGGAGTTGAAAAGTGTCCCGTAACAGCAGGGGCGGCCGCAATAAGAGGGGGGCAGGCAGAGGGGGGCCCTCCGTTGGAAAGGGCCCCCCGCCCCGCCTCCGAGCGAAGCTGCTTCAGGAGACTCCCTTTTTGGGCTTCCTTTGCAAACTGCCCGTTCTCATCCGCCCGCTCTGGTCCCGTGGGAAGGCGCCCCATCCCCCCCCCTTGCACAAGACAAGGCGAGTGGAAGGCTTCCTCTGGGAGAAGCCACGGGGCCCCCTTCGCTCTTGCTTTCCTGGGCAAAGCCCCTTGACCTGCTGGTCTCGGGGTCTGGTGGGAGGCAGTGCCAGATGGAGGCCCCGAAAGTGGAGGCCAGGCAGCGGGGCTTGTTAGCCTCTGAAGGGCCACAGGGCTCCTTCCGTTTGTCCCCCGGGAAGACTGGCATCGCGCCTCCCCCAGAAACTCCAAGGATGGCCAGGCAGGGCAGGCCAGGGCAGGAGGGGAGAACGCCCGGCCAGCCATGCCTTCCTCCAGAGGGGTTGCCATGCAGAGACCCCCCAAGGCCGAGGGCAAAGAGGCGAGGGCCATCCATCCATCCATCGGTGCGTGAGGCGGCCTCTGCATCTCCAGGGCCAGCAACTGCCCTTCCCGGCAAAAAGGGAGGCGAGAGGCAGGCTTGGCCATTGCGCCTTCCCCGAAATACCTCCAGGCCCCTCTGCGTGGCTTGCTTCTGAAGGAGGAGCCACGGCCCAGCGCGGGAGCCCAAGCATCTTTCCTTGGCTGGGCTGCTCACTTGCTGCTTAGGAGGCTGTGGTTTGCAGTCGCCATGGAAACCATTAGTTGCTAAGTGACTGGAGCATCGTCTCCCGGAGCCCTCGCATCTAATTATCCCATCACAGCGGCTGCGAGGGTCTGGGAGGGAGCAGGGGGATTAAGGCTTCCTCCCTCCCTGCCTGCCTGGCTGCCGAGCGGAGCCGGTGACAACACGGCTGTGTGCTTAAAGGAGCAGCGGGCTCTTTACGCAGCCAGCCTTTCTGGGGCCAGGCTGAAAGGAGGCTCTCCTGCTCGGGATGAGGAGCCCGGCGGTCTGGGACCAGCTCCTCTCCATGTTCTGGTTCCCCGCACCCACCCCCAGGCAGCTGCAGCCTAGCCCCAGCCTGCCTGGGCCCCAGGGAGGAGGAAGGCCCTGGGAGAAGGGGCAGCCCATTCCCAAAGAGCAGCCAACCCCCTCCTGCCCACCCACCCCCCACTGCCTTTTCCTTTGGAGGCCCTGCACCAAGGATAGCCTGGCTGAAGGGACAGGGGTGGGGTGGGGAGCGTGCCACATGGGTGCTGCCCCAGAGGCAGCCCGAAAGCCTTTGTTTGGTCACCTGGCACTCTGCTCCAGAGCAGCTCAGCACTGAATGCCCCCCCCCCGAAACCTGGAGCCAGGTCCCCTGGTGGATTCCTGGCCCTCCAGCTGCCTGCCTGGGCTCCTCTCACATGGGGCCCTCACTCCAGGGCCCCCGTCTGGACACACTGCTGGATGAGGCTGGAGCAGGAGAGGCAGGAATCCACCTCCTCAGGAGCAGGAGAGGCAGTTTCTCCAATGGATGCCCTCCTCGGGAGAAACCTGGAGATCTGGGCCCCCTCTGGGCCCTCCCTGGCCTTGCTAGCTGCAGGAGCAGCTTAACACAGAGGCCAGCCCAGACGCCAGCATCTCTTCCTCCAGAGCCATGTCTACACTTTGTCTAGGTTCCTCCCCCCCACTTTGCCCCTGCGGGCTTGGCTTCCCAGTCCACCAATGGCAGGGGAGGTGGGGTGGGGGCTCTGTTGCCCACCCCACTCAGCTGGGGGCCTCCTCTATTCACAGAACAGTCTGGCAGGTGCGGACTGGAAGTGCTTGAGCAGTCTTGATCACAGCAAAAGCAAAAAGCAAAGCGTGCTGCTTACATACCGCCCTGTAGCACTTCAAGCACTCTCCGGGCAATTTACAAGTTAATTCTGCAGGCTATCCATTCTGCCCCCTCCCCCCCCCCTGAGCTGGGTCCTCATTTTACTGACCTCCGAATGATAGAAGGCTGAGTCGACCTTGAGCCGGCTACCTGAGACTGAACCCCAGGTCGTGAGCACAGCCCTTTGCCTGCAAGGGGAGGGCTGGGCTCTCACCAAGCCCCTTCTTAAAAGGCTGAAATGTGTGACCGTCTGGTGGGAACAGGTGAACCAGGCTTTTCTGGGCCCTCAGTTGTCATGAATCTGGGCTCCAGTGCCTTGGGAGTAAATCCGCCTCCTTGGCATCCAGGAGGTCCTGGAGGATCTCCCCGTAACCCCTCTCGGGATCCACGCAGACCCATTCGGCGCAACTGAGCCCCATGACCCGCAGAGCCCTGCCTTTGCCAGTCAGTGGGTATCACTGGCTCAAAGGAGGAGGCGTAGCAGGCAGGAGAGAAGGGGGCTGCTGCTCCTCCAGCTGTGAGGGGCACAGGCATGCCCACCGGTGCCCAAGGCCAACTTCTGCCTCTCCCGAGCCTCCCTTTTGGAACCTGGGCAAGTCAACCTGGGAGAAAGGAGGAGGAGGAGGCCAGGGGAAGAAGGGCTTTGACTCCCATGGTCTCAGCTTTGCAGGGGAGGAGGGAACCCCCACGTCCGGCTGCCCCCAGGGTGGGAGCCTGGCTTGTTCCCCCTTTGCCCGCCTGCCCGCCCAGCTGTTCTTCCCTGGGCAAAGGGGCCCCTGACCTGCTGGTCTCTGGGCCCTTGTGAGATGCCACGCCAGCAGGCCCGAGACCCAGAGGGAGGCCAGGCGAGTGGGCGTCTGAGGGCGGGAGAGAAGTGCCGGCTGTTATCCTCGGACCCTGTCAGGCCTTCCCGTCTCACCCACCTACCTGGTAATCCGATTTGCATCCCCCTTTTCTTCCACTGAATTGTCCTGTTGCCATGGGAACAGGAGTCTCACGATTGCACTGGCACCCTAAAGGCACTTCGCCCGCC